GGACTTCCGGTCCCTTCGAGGCCGGGGCTGGAGTGCCTCTACTTGGTGTTGGGCAATCGAGACAGATTGGGGATTCTGTTGGTGTACCGTGCACCCTTCTGCCTAACAGTCTCCCTGCCTGAGCTGACAGAGATCGTCTCGGATTTGGTGTTGAAGACTCCCAGGATGTTGGTCCTGGGAGACTTCAATCTCCACACCGAGACGGCTCTGACCGGGGCGGCTCAGGACTTCATGGCCTCCATGACGGCCATGGGGCTGTCTCAACATGTCACAGGCCTGACCCATGAACATGGACACACTCTGGACCTGGTTTTCTCGACGGGGCAGGAAGAGGGGGATCTGAGGGTGAGGAATTTATGTTTGACACCCTTGCCATGGTCAGATCACTTCCTCATGAGGTTTGAGCTCGAGAGCGGCCTTTCCCTCTGTAAGGGTGCGGACCCTATTGTGTGGGTCCACCCCCGGAGCTGGACGGATCCAGATGGATTCCTGAAGGCCCTGGGGGATTTCCCGGTTGACAAAGCTGGTGCTCCTGTCGAAGCTCCGGTCGAACTATGGAATGGGGAAATGACCAGGGCTATTGACACGATCGCTCCTAAGCGTCCTCTCCCACCTGGCAGAGCCCGTTCATCCCCTTGGTATACACTCAAATTACGGGCGATGAAGCAGCTTGGGAGACGGCTAGAGCATAGGTGGAGGAAATCACGGGATGAATCTGACCGAACACACTTGAGAGCCCATTATAGGGGCTATGCTGTGGCGGTGAGGGTGGCGAAGAAGAAATTCTTTTCCGCTTCCATTGCCTCCTCACAATGCCGTCCAGTGGAGCTCTTTCGGGTGGTACAGGGGCTCGTTCACCCGAGCCCCGAGAAAGATCTGTTTCCACCCTCAAAGGCCCACTGTGACGACTTTGCCGAGCATTTCAAGGAGAAAATTGCTCAGATTTGTCACGAGCTGGACTCTACTAGTGATTCAGAGGCTTCTGGGGAGATACCAATGTCACCATCTGGTCCAAAATTAATGGATGAATTTCAGTTACTGCGGCCCGATGATGTGGACAAGGTGCTTGGACGAGTATGTCCCACCACTTGCCTATTGGACCCTTGCCCATCTTGGTTAATAAACAACACCAAACACGGGATTGGGACCTGGATCTTGGAAGTGGTTAACTCTTCTCTGAGGGAGGGTCGGGTACCTGCCCCTTTAAAGGAGGCGTTAGTCCGACCGGTCCTGAAGAAAGCGACACTGGATCCAGAGATGGCCACTAACTATAGACCTGTGGCCAACATCCCGTTTCTGGGCAAGGTGTTGGAGCGGGTGGTAGCGGGACAACTCCAAGCACTCTTGGATGAAACTGATTATCTGGACCCATTTCAGTCCGGCTTCAGACCCGGGTACGGTGCTGAATCTGCCTTGGTCACCCTGTATGATGACCTGTGCAGGGAGAAGGACAGGGGGAGTGTGTCCCCGTTGGTTCTTCTGGACCTCTCAGCGGCTTTCAATACCATCGACCATGGTATCCTTCTGGATAGGCTAGCGGGATTGGGGGTCGGAGGCACTGCGTGGCGGTGGTTCCGCTCCTATCTCAATGGCCGGTTCCAGAAGGTGGTGCTGGGGGACTGTGGCTCTGCGCCCTGGCAGCTATGCCATGGAGTTCCGCAGGGGTCTATTTTGTCCCCTTTGCTGTTCAACATCTACATGAAACCGCTGGGAGAGGTCATCAGGAGGTGTGGGCTGTGGAATCATCAGTACGCTGATGATACCCAGCTCTACCTCTCGTTTTCCACCAATCCAGGTGAGGCAGTGGCTGTGCTGAACCGGTGCCTGGCCGAGGTAATGGGCTGGATGAGGGCCAATAAACTGAAGTTCAATCCAGACAAGACGGAGGTCCTGTTGGTAGGTGGGTTGGACTTCAGGATGGGGGACCTGAGCCTTGTCCTGAATGGGGTTGCACTCCCTCTTAGGGACAGGGTTCGCAGCTTGGGAGTGCTCCTCGACCCAGAGCTTTCACTGGAAGCTCAGGTGACAGTGGTGGTGAGGAGCGCTTTCCTCCAGCTCCGGCTGATCCATCAGCTGTGTCCCTGCCTGGAGAACGCTTGCCTGGCGACAGTGACACATGCATTGGTAACTTCCCGATTAGACTTCTGCAACACGCTCTACGTGGGACTGCCCTTGAAGACGGTCCGGATACTTCAATTGGTGCAAAACAGAGCTGCCAGGTTGCTGACAGGGACTGGGCGTTGTTCTCATATAACCCCAGTTCTCCGTCAGCTTCACTGACTTCCCATTGAAGTCCGGGCCCAATTCAAGGTGTTAGTTATCACCTATAAAGCCCTGAACGGCTTGGGTCCTGGTTACCTAAAGGAGCGCTTACATCCATATATGCCCGACCGCCCCTTGAGGTCTGCGGGAGAGGCCCTTCTCCGGGAACCCTCTGTGAAGGATATTAGGAGGATGAGTACCCGGAGCAGGGCCTTCTCTGCGGTGGCGCCCAATCTATGGAATGCGCTCCCCAGAGAGGTCCGCCTGGCGCCGTTGTTATTTGTTTTTTGGTGCCAGGCCAAGACCTTTTTATTTAAACAATATTTTAACTGTTAATTGTTATCTTTATTTAAAGGTTTGTATAATCTGCTGAGATGTATCCGGATTTTAGGGTTTATTTTACATTTGTTTGTTGCTTTGTAAGCTGCCCTGAGGCTTTTTGCGAAGGGGGCGGCATAAAAAAATTGCTTTAAATAAATAAACAAACAAACAAACAAACAAATAAATAAATGCTATTCTGTGATTCTAAGTGGTTCTTAGAGCAACTAAAGCAGAACTTATCTTGGAAGCAAAAAATGATGAAACTGAAGTTGCCCAAAATAGGGCAAATCAAAAGAAAGCCAGACCCCCTGGAACAGACAGTCATGCCAGGGGAAGTAGAGGACAGGAGAAGAGGAAGAGCGGCCAGGAGATGGATGGACCCCGTAAGGAAAGCCACCGAGCTGGGCGGGGCTGTGAAGGGCCGGTCCTTAAGGAGGGCGTGAATTCACAGGGTCAGCGCAGGTCTTCGGGGGACTGGGAGCTCCCAACAAGAAGCGGATTCAGCCGGGTTGCCCTGGGCCAGGTGCTGCAATGGGTCAGTGGGGGCTTTGCCAAGAGAAGGCGGGGAAAGCCAAGTTCTGCTGATTCCCCTGCACTTCGCAGCCATCTGATGGTGCTTTCGGCCCAGGAGGTTCTCCCGGGCAACTTCTCCCGGTGTGGAATTGGCGACACAACGCTGGTGATCCGCAAATTTAGTTCCTGAAGAAGCTGGCCCAGCTGGAACGGCTGCATGGCTAATCCAGGTTCTTGTTGGGTGAGGGTTGATTGGGTGGGCTAAAGATCTAATAAATGAGATAATCAAGGTGGGCTCAAACGTTCCCCACACGCTTCCCCTTTCCGGCTCCTTATTCTGCCACAATTGTCTTTGTGCAGAAATACTGGCGCTGTGAGCCCTCAGAAACAGCAGGGGCTTCAGAGGCCGCCTCTCCCTGGCCACCCCGGGGGATGAGCTCCGGCGGGAGGGGGTGCGGAGGGGCGCCCCGATCCCCCACCTGCTTCTGTGGCTGCCCACTGTGGCACCTTGTGGATCAACACGGCGTGCCGGCCACCGGGGCCTGTGTCCCAGTGGCTTCCGTCTTTCCTGCAGGGTGGGCGCCACCAAGTATCCTTTGGGGCTGGGCAGCTGAGCCGTGGGGCTCTGCAAGGAGCCGCTCTGCCTCCCGTAGGTTAGGGAGCAGCCCTGGCGGTTTGGAGCCAGTGAGAACCTGCACGGCTTAGCCAGATATACTCCCGTGCATGAGCCTGGAATTAGATCAATCATTCCTCCCCGGGCAAGCTCTGCAATGCTTCAAAACACACAGTCCCGTTCTGCTGATGAACAGAGGCCACACGTCATGTGTGGATCTGCATTTACCCTTCCGACATGGAAGACGCCTCCTTGGAATAGAGGAGACGCCACCAAACGGTTTCTTGGTGATCACCTGTTCCCACACTAAATGAATTTTACCTTTCTTGTGCTCTTAGATGAAACCAGGTAGCATTGGCATCCTGGACCACCCCAGAGGAGAAGCAAGTATCTTCTAATGCACTCTGGATGCGCGTTAGGTACATGCGTGCCTGCAAGCCCACGGTCCTAGACTCACTGCTGGCACATCGGGAGAGCAGTGTCTTGCAGCTAATGCAGGCCGGGCCACCTGAGGTCATGCAATAAAGCCGGCCCCTCAGTGGGCCCTGGAGCACCTGGGCCAAGGAAAGGCCAGCACAGCCGAAGCACCCCTTTTCTGGACGGCTCTCCCAGCCCCATGGCAGCCCGAGTGGCCGGTTGCCTGCAGCTGGTCGGCTGCAGCCAGCCCTCTCTGCCTGGGTGAGGCCGCAGTGGGACACCGGCAGAGCCGGTAAATGGGGTCCCCGAGCCAGAGGGCACAAGAGCCCCTGAGGACAGCCCTGGATCAATGAGCACCCCAGAAGGAGAACCCGGCCCTGTACAGGGAGCGGGACTCTCCACCTGGGGCGGGGGAGACCCGCCTGGCAGTCCCGCTGCTGGGTCTGGGCAGAGCTTCGGTTTGCCGGCCTTCGTGCTCACAGGAGCGTGTGATGGGCTTGGCGTGGTGGAGCCACGAAATCCTTGGCTTTCTGCGGCTCACAGCTTCCTCTCTGGCAGGCTTCCAGGGGAGCAAGGCGGTGACATCACCACGGGCCCGGGCAGCCGCTCTCCCTCGCCTCCAGCCATGGCAGCCCTGTACCTCCGGCTCACGGGGCTCATGCAAGGCCGCCCCAGGGCTGGGTGTGGCGATTTCAGCCTTTGCTTGTTCTCAGCATGAGTTCGGTGTGGAAGTGGAGGTATTCTGACATTCTGTGCCTTCCCCAAACCGTGCCAGTTCCTGCTGGGGGACAGCGTCAGCAGCCCTGGAGAGGGCAGGGCAGGGCAGGGCTGGCCGGGGCTGGGGGGGCCCTTTTAATAGGCGACGGGTTGCGCAATGGGGCCAGCTGCTGGGAAGCCGACCCGGACTGGGACGTGGGCCAGCCCTGGGCTTGTGCTCGCTCTGATTGGCTTGGGCCTCCTGGGCCAGGCAACAGCCACCCATTGGGGAGCAGATAAAAGCACCACTGGCTGCAGGGAGACCCAGACTCAGCCGGAAGCGCAGCCCCTGGGGAAGAGAAGGGCACCGCCAACCCGCCAAGAAGGACGGCCAGCGCCTCCGCTTGTCCCGAGGAACCCAGGTGAGGTGAGGTGAGGTGAGGTGGGGAAGCCCACCGGGCAGGGCCCCAAGGCCCCAGTGGGAGAGACCCAAAGGTTCCTGGAGCCGCACGTTCGGAAGCCCTGGACCAGTCGGGGGAACACCTCCCCGGGGAGAATGCCGGTTCTCAGGTCCCTTGAGCAACTGGGCCCCGAATCGGTCTCCCTGCCACCCAAAGCCCCTGCTTCGCGCTGGGCTCACCCCCATATTCTCCGCACCCCTTGAACTGCCTAGCCAGCCACTCCTGCAGGTGCAGCTTCTCTGGACTGGCGGCCGTTCCTGAGGGCTGCGCTGGGAGCCTCAGGCCTTGCGAGGCTTCTCTCGAAGCACGTCCGGCCGCTTCAGAAAGGGCTGCAGCTCCGGGGAAGCGTGGTCCTGGTTCTGCAAGCGCCCCTCGTGCCGGCTGGCTCCTCTTGCGGAGAGGTGCCGCTGCGGGAAAGGAGGCGCCACGGCCCTGCACGGCCTCCTGCTCACGGCTGCCCCAATGCCCCTCTTGCAGGATGCTCCTGCTCTGGACTTGGTTGCCGGTCCTGGCTCTCCTGGCCAGCTGCGGAGGGGCCCAGGAGTGCAGGCCACCGCCCGGAGGTAAGGCGCAAGGAAAGCGTGGCGGGGGAGAGCCATCGCTGGGCCTGCCCGGGGCCCCTGGGGCCCTCACCCTCAGATCGTCCTGTGCCGTGGCTTCCTGGTCCCTGCCCAGCCGGGGACCAGCATCCTGGCAAAGCACGAGCCCCACAGCTGCCGCCCTCGTGCCTTGAGACGAACAGGCCAGCAATGCCCCGCAGCTCCAAAGCGCGGAAAGGCGGCAGGCGGGCGGGCGGGAGAGGAGGCCCAGGGGGAAAGACCGTTCCGGAGGACCACGCACCGCGTGGGTCTGACGGGAGCCAGGAAGACCCCTGGGTGGAACGCGCTGGGCTCCTGCGGGGGCCCTGCGGGGCTCGCCTGAGCCGGCACGGCTTTTGCGGGGTGATTGGAGCCTCTCTCACACCGGGCCCCGCCGGGCATTCGAGCGCACGGGGGTTTGGGGGGCGGGAGGGCTGTTCTCTCTGCCTCACTGTGCTGTCCTGCCCGTTCGGTGGCTCAAGATGGGCCGCTGCGGCGGAGCGGCGTTGCGAAACTACCGCAGGCTGGCGCGGTGCGGCGCAGCTTCCAGGGCGCGCCCGGGCTGGGCGGGTGGGGAGGAGCCCCGGAGGAGGAAAGGGCCCCGCCGCGTGCCCGGGCGAGGGGGCTGCCCTCCCTTTCAGCACACTGGGGCGGGGGAGAGAGAGGCTCCGTCTCCCCCCCCCCCCCCCCGGGCAGCAGAGCGCCGCGCTCGGTGCCTGCGCCGCCTTCTTCCCGCGCCTCCCAATCCCCCCGCTCCAAGCTCCGCTGAAAGGGCCACCCCGTCGCTCCGCGCATGCTCCCCCCTGGGCTCCCGTCCTCCAGCGGAGAAGGTCCCGCGGGAGCCCGAAGAGGGGGCGCGCCCCACCTCCCCTTCTCTCCCGCAGCGCCTCGGGCCAAGAACGTGGCGCTGGGCCGCCCGGCCGTGCAGTCCTCCACCTTCGCGCGCCGCATCTCCGGAAGGGCGTCCAAAGCCGTGGACGGCAACTGCTCCGGGTTCTGGCGCCGCGGCTCCTGCACCCAGAGCAGGCTGCAGAAGGAGCCCTGGTGGGCGGTGGACCTGGGCGCGCAGTACAGCGTCTCCACCGTGGTGGTGAAGAACCGGCAGGACTGCTGCAGCAAGCGGCTGCAGGGGGCCCAGGTCTACGTGGGAGACGCGGTGGCGGACCGCAAGGACCCCTCCCGCCTGTAAGTCCCCCCCCCGCCCTTCCCTCGGGCAAACCTACTCAGGACATACCTCGAAGATCGCCCCCTTTGCACTCGTAATCATGGGGAATGTAGAAAAGCAGGATTCTGCTATTTCAGCCTGTGCTCCTGGCCAGAATGGCAAATGTTTAACTTGCTCATAAATGAACTGGAATTCATTCATTCATTCAATTTGTATAAAAGCCAACCATTTGCATCGTGCTCTCTCGGCGGCCATTGCACTCAAATATCAATAACAACATTAATAAAATAATACAGTTCAAATACTGTAATAAACAGACAAACTAAAACACAATATACAAGCCAACAAAACAAAAAAATAAATTAAAATTAAACCAGTGCTTCAAATCCATAGTTTGAGTAGTGCCATGATTGCGTTAGAACAGGAATGCTTTTGTTAGGCACCTAAAACTCAATGCAGTAGGTGCCTGACAAATCTCCCGAGGCGAAGGGTTCCAGTAGTGGGGTGCCAGCATCAAAAAGGCCCTGCTCCTCACCCGCCCCCCCCTCCTCAGGAAAAGGAACCTGTAGGAGTGGCTCCACTGATGGCCTTAAACAAGGGGCAGGTTCGTTGGGGGAAGGCGCTCCCCAAGATTGTGCGGTCCCCAGCCGTTTAGGGGCGACAGGAAATGTCCAAGTTTGCGGGTGACCCCAAACCAAATAGGAATTGCTCTCCTAAGGCTCCCTTCAGGCCGGGAGAAAGGGCATCCGGATGCAGGTGCAGCCCAGTATAAGCAAGTGCAGAGTGATGCATGTTGAGGCAACAGCTGCCAGGGCTAAGGCGGGGGGTCCGAGCTGGCAGCGACTGGCCCGAATGGGGTGGGGGGCTTTGGGGGCCACGCAATGACGATTCCACGCAATGACTGGCGCGAAAAGAGACGCTCCCCGTGGAGCACGGTTGGGAATGGAACCGAGGCTTGGAATGCTTCTATGCAAGCCAGTGGTGCAGCCACCGCTGGAATACCTGCAGCTCCTGAGCATGGGAACATGGGAGGCAGATCCCTGGCCATCTAGCCCAGTATTGTAGACACTGACTGGCGGCAGCAGCAGCAGCTCTGAGGGTTTCAGGCGGGAGTTTCCCCAGCTGCGTGCTGGGTGGCTGCGGGACCAAACTGTGAAGCCTCGTCAGTGCTGGGGAGGGGGAGAACCCCCAGCCGCTGGCACTGGCCAAGGGAAGCGTCTCACACCTTTCCTGCGGTGCTTGTACCAGGCAGCTGTCCGAAGGCTGAAGGTTTTGCACTTTCCTCTACTCTGGGAGGATGGGAAGGTGGCTGCCTTCCGAAATGGGCTTTTGATCGGACAAGGGGGGCAATGTTGTTGTTTTGGTAAGGGCCGCATCCCTGTCAAAAGAACACCACCGGCCTGCCAAAATCCCCTTTTCCAAATGGGAAAAGCCGCACACGTCTGGAGCACGAAAGGTTCTTGGCTTGCAAAGGGGAGGCCACCCAGCAGCGGCCCTTCATGTGCGTCCGGGCGCTTGGGAAGGCTGTCAGAACGGGAGCAGGGAGGGGCTGTGATTGGGAAGGGGGCTCTGCCTCAGTGTCCCTTGCGGGAGGCCTGACGTGGGGCGGGCAGGGAGCAGCTCACCCAGCGCCCTCGCCCGCTGGGTGGAGGCGGTGTGCTCATGACGCAACCCGCCCGGGCTGGTTCCCCGGGCGCGTTTGCCTGACACGCGAGCCCGCCCTGGTTGGGGGTGCGTGTGCCCTGACAGTGGGGGCACTTTGCTTCCTCAGAAGGGGAGCACCGGCCTGCCTGATGCCCCTTTCTCCCTGCAGCTGTGGGACCATCCTCAACACCACCCCGGGCTCCATCACAACCATCTACTGCAACGGGCTGAAGGGCCACCTTGTGATCGTCAGCATCTCGGGCCGACCGGAGAGCCTGTCACTGTGCGAGGTGGAAGTGTACGGCAACAAGCAGGAGCCCACGCCGTGCTGCAAGCCGGGGGGGGCACCGCAGTGAAGGGGGCTCCCAATAAACACCCCTCCCACCGGCATCCTCTGCCTCCTCCAGCTCTTTTGTGTCCTGGGCTTCAGAACGAGCGAGGCGGGGGCTGCTTCCCAAGGCAGGACGAAGTCGTGGGAAAGCTGGCCCAGAAGGGGTGGGCTGCCAGCGCCGAGCTCGAATTGCCCCTCCGCAGCGCTGCCACGAGCGGGAACCGCGTCAGGGGCTGCAGAGTCATCCTCGAGGGGGCGGTGCCCCTTGTGGGGCAGCCCGCACTGCCCCTCTCCTCCCCCACGTGGCTGGACCGGGCTCTTCTCCGGCGCCAAGCACAGAGCCTCCCGTTTCCTGGTCCTGCTCGAGAGGAATCCAGCCGCTCGGGCACAAGCGGGGAAGGGCGGACTCGGGCTAGGCAGAGCCCACCTGTTCTGGGCAGGCCCCTTTCCCCGCTCTTGCCTAGAGAAGGAGGTTGCCGGCTGGTGCTGGCAGCCGCCCAGGAGAGGGGCCCACTGCTCCCGGAGCCGCCGCTGGGATGCACCGCTGGGAATGGGAGTGAAGGAGGCGAAGCGGCCGCGGCAGGCGGGCGCGGCATCGCGGCCGCCACCTGGGCAGGGATGTGTGCCCTCTGAGCAGTGCCCGGCTGCTTTGGAAGTGCCCGTGCGCCACTCTGGAGCCTCCGGCAGCTGCTTTAGGATGCCACGGAAAGCAGACAACCATATTGGACTGATTAATTGCTTTAATCTCTTCACTGCCAGAGGAGGAGAGGTGCCCGAAGGAATGAGGGCTTTTCTGCACGAGGCATTTCTTGCGCGTTGGGGAAGCTTAACTCATGGAAGTCCGCAGGGCCTTTTCATGATGTCGTCATCCTCCAGGGCCTCTCCTGTTTTCTAGCCTTTGTTGCATGTTTTTTAGTGTGAGGAAAAGCAGAGCTTAAATGTTAAATTGTGACAACCTGGAATGCGCGCTCCTCACGGCACTGCAAATCCCCCGAGGGCAGGGGCGCCACAGCACCACCTTCTGGCTGGTAATTAGAAAAGCAGAGAACTACAAACCTTGGGAAGAAACCGCACATAAAGGACACATTTTTCCTCTTGCAAGGAAAAGGGTAGACAAAACCTCCGTAAAGCAGCAGATTGAACTCCTCAGACAGAGACACCCTTCCTGCCTCGGGGGCTGAAAAAGAGCAGGTTCCTCGCAAAGGAATGTATGCTCCTATCCAAGTCACAGAGCGCTTTGATCGGAGCCTCCACTGCCCCACCCCCTCCGATGCCGATGCCCCAAAGGAAGGCCCCGGAGGGAAGCCCACGGTCGCACGCCTCCTTCCCCAGCTTCTGGCTGGGCTTCAGGGCCAATGTCTGTCTGCTGGAGCAGCACAGCCATGGAGCCGTGACCCGGGAGGTGGTGGCTCGGCCACCCTGGAGGCATTCGGGGGCAGCTGGGCAGCCCCCCATCAGGGACGCTTCACTGGAGCCCCACACCTCCCCGAGGGCCTTATGGGCCCCCTTCCAGCCCCTGTTGTCTACGAGCCCAGGGGGACTGTGCTCTGGAGCCCTGGTCCTGGTGGGTGGGCAGCAAGGAACCATCTGTATCCATGATCCGTGGCTCCCTGAATGTGGGAGAACATCAGGCGCCTGAGCACGCTCCTTGGGAGCTCCTGCCAAGCCATTTTGGGCCGCTGCTTTTGTTCTTTTTAAGGACCAGCCAAGTTCTTTGCCAGGTCTGGGGCTGCATCCCTCACGCTCACACTCTGCTGTCCAGCAGAGACATTCCAGGCGGCTGGGGCGGCTCTGTACTGGCCTGAGGGAGAGCAGAATTGCAGCGGACTGGCCTGCCGCCAGGAGCTGCCCTTGGCTTTGCACACAAATTGCCCCCTCCAGCCCAGCGTGGGCGAGTGCTGGCTGCAGGGGCCTTTCCAGGCGCTCCGGAGCCTTTGCCCAGTTGTACTAGCTGGGCCGGGCCAGCAAAGCTTCCCCGCCTCCGTACAGGAAAAGTGTTCCGAAAGGTCTGCTCATGCCGGGCGGGAAACGTACCGCACAGCTGTGGCCGGGTGTGGAGGGCTCATGTGGGTGCCTTGCCATTACCACCACCGGGGAACAGCGGTGATGTGCGATGGGGAGGTGGCACCAGATGTGAGGAAGTCGTGGGAAGACAGCCAGGGAGCACGGGGCCGGCGGCTGTGGCTGGGCGACAGGTTTGCATGCGGATCATCGGTCTGGGAGCTAAGGATGGGAAGGCCTCAGGGAGGAAGGGGTGTGCGTTGCTCGGGGGGGCGGGCAAGTGGGGAGAGCTTTGCTGGCTGAACATGAAAAGTCCTTCCGGAGAACAATTCCCACTGAAGTGAGGGAGCCCCCCTTGGGAGCAAGCCAATTTTGGAGGGCGCTGCAGGATGGACCTGGGGAATTATGCACTGCTGCTCTGTTAAGGGTTGCATGACCCCCCCCCGCCCCGCCCCTCGACTCCACTCCCAGCAGTCTGTGCTGGCCCTCGGCACTCACCGGTCTGAGGTCTGAAGCGCTGCGGAGGCAGGGGCCCCTTCACGCCGCATCCGGCCCCTGCCCATCCCTGAAGGGCAACCGCTGGCCCACGATCCCCGCTCAGCCGCCCCCCCCACCGAGCCTCGGGGCGCCCGCCGCGCGGGTGCGCAGCACCACCCTCGCCGCGGTTTCCCCTTGCAATGTTTTGAGCGAATATCGCTCGAGGCGGCGGACCCGCGTCCTCCGGGGAAGCGGCTGCGCCCTCGCTGGGCAGTGAGCCGAGAGCGTGGGGAGCCGCTGCCCGGCCCCGTGCGCCTCCGCCTCGCACAGCCTGGCCGAGCTGCTGATGCGCCCAGGCCGGTGTCCGTGGCGGTCCCGCAGCTGCCGGGGGAGAGTGCGGTCGGCGCGGGGGCGCTGCAAGCCGAACGGATGCGCCCGCAGGGCCTCCCGCCCGCCCCACACTGGCCTCTCCTGCCTGGCGGGAAAGAGACGCGAGGGAACTCCGCGGGGGGGACCAGAGGGGGATGGGGCCACCTGGGCCCCTGTGAAATGTTGCGGGCGAGCCAGGACGATTGCCCCACCGTGGCGCCCCCACTCTGAGTGGCCCCACAGGCACCACCGAAGGAGGAGGCCAGAGGGGCGCGATTCGCCAGCAAGGAGCATGGGCTCATCTGTGCCTGCGGGTACAAAGCCAGGGGTGGTTCTAATTGGAATATGAGCGCCGGGCTTCCCACTGACGAGCGGAGGACTGCGGGCGAGGGGCCGGGTGCCCACTGGTGGGAGGCACGTGTTCTTAGCACTCCTTACCTGCAACCTGGCACTGCACCGGGCGGCCCTCCCGCGAAAGCTGCCCTCTGCAGAGGAGGCGTTTCCGCCAAGGGCACACCTGGCTGCCCCACCCACCCGGAGTCCTCTTCTGGCCACCTTGCTCGTCGCCCCTGACATGACCCGGAGCCACTTTTCTAATGAGGGGCGAAACTCCACCCCGCCAGGCCCATTCCACACACGGAACGGCGGCTGCGGGCCACCCACCCACACCCGTCCAGTGATCTCGCGGTGACCACACACCCCGGGATGCCTGTGCTTGCGGAGAGAGGCTGACACGGGGCCCGCGGCACTTGCAGCTGGTTGGGTGTGCCCTGGCCAGGCATGGAGTCTCCCACGTGGAGCGTGGCCCCCTTGAGTCCCTCGCCGCAGCAGTCTGAGCGGCTCTTCACGATGACGGACCGATCAGCCGATCCATCCAGCCGTCCTCTTTTGCTCTATTGACTACGCCGGAGGATGAGCTGGGTTGTACCACCCACCAAGCCCCCCCGATCCCACCTCCCTTCTCCCTCCCTCCCCTGCCCTTGCAAGCGCACCCCAAAGCCCCTTTCCCCTCCACATGCTGCTCCTGGGCTTCTGCCCAAGAGCTGTGCCCAAACCCGACCCAAGTCAGTCTGGACGTTCCACGCGACTGTGCCACGGGCCGTGGCCCTCGGTTCAACTCCAAGGCAACGGAACTGCATCCCCCGTGCGGGGCCTCACCAGGTCTGCCCAGCACCAGGCAGGTTCCATGTGCTTTGCACCTAGGGGCTGGCGCAGCTTCCAGCCTGGGCGGTTCTGGTTGCTAAACTGGGGCTGTCGAATTTGGAATGGAAAGAGCGTGACGAGAACCATCAGGTGCCACAGCAGATCCCCCGAGGGGCGGGTGCAATGGGGCCGGTCAGCTTAGGAGGGTGGGGAAGGGGAGACCCGAGAGGTGTTCCAAATTATGCCTGGCACAGGACGGTGGGAGATGGGTTCCCACCCCTCAAGAGGCAGGACCCCAGCCGGGCCCTCCTCCGGAACGGGCTGCTGTGGGATGCAGGAGGGACACAAGGCAGGGCTTCTACCCACCTCCCACCCCCAACCAGTGGAGTCCACTGAGGCGACCAGATCGGTGCCGACACTGCCGCTGGTCTGAGGCAGTTGCTGGGGAACATGGGTGGGAGGGTGCCGTGGCACCCAAGCCCCATGTGGAGGCTTCCCACAGGCAGCACTTTGGCCACCATGTGAACAGACGGCTGGGCCGAGGCGGCTTTGGGCTGGTCTGTCCAACGTCCTTCCGCGGTGGCAGGCAAGGCCAGCTGTGATGCCAGCGGCCGCAGAGGCTCCTTCTGGGACCGGCTGCGCAAAGCCCCAAGCGCCCCTTCCAAAGAGGCGGGCGGCGGGCCGGCCGGCCGGCCTCTGCAGGGGAGAAGGGCATGGCCAGAGAGGCGAGCCCGGCCGTGCCGCTTGCGTCAAAGAGGAGGCATTAAGCACATTAATGGGGTGGGGGGGCTGCCAGCAGCTGACTGCAGCCTTGGCTAAATGGGGTGTCTGCCTTCCCAGGCTCCTGGCTGCCCCGTGACCTGCTCGTGGTCTTCCTGGGGGCATCTGCTGGACCCCACGAGGAGGAGGGGGCAGACCGGGTGGACCTTGTGCCTGCCCCCTCCTCCTCTGGTGCTCTGGCGTGTTGGGTATCGCTACTGCTGCCCTGGGCTGCTTTACGTCCCATCTTCTCTCAAGCACGGGAGCCCAGTGCAATGAGCGCAGGGTGAAAGCCGGAATGCGTCGTGTCCGGGAATGTCAGCGCAGGCCGCTCTGCCAAATGCTGACGCGCAGGGAAACCGCTGAGGAATCCCGCCGGGGGCCTGCGACTCCGTCTCCCTTCCCACGTGAGCCACGGGAAGCCGGGAAGAGCCTTTGGCCAAAGCTCGTCGGCCAACACAGGTGGAGTCCAGAGCTGGCGTCACCGCAAATGAAGGGCAGCTTCACGCCCCCGCCTGTTCCCCCCCCCCCCCCAAGAACAAACTGCAGGGCAAGCACCCAGTAGGGACATAGAAAATAAATTTTATTCTCCGTTTAGATGTCTACACTGTCGCTGCATCACCAACCGCGACCCCCCCAGAAGAATGCAGCTCGTGTTACTCGGCAGACGGCAGAGGAGCCCGTCCGTAGCCAGAGTCCGCCCCGTCGCCGCAGGGGGGTGGCGGCGGCGGCAGCCCGCACTTGGCTCTTTGACATACTCAACAGAAACAAAAAATATCAAATTCCAGAGGCAGGCCCCCGGCCCCCAGCCACGCTCCTGCCTGCTGTGGGCAGGGGGCTGAGCCTGGCAAGGCGGGCGGGCGGGCGGGGGCGAGGCCGGGTCCGGGTCCGGGCAGCGCGGCGAGTCAGAGGTGCCGCCGAGGCGGTCAAGGCTGTGCTCCGGCAGCGGCAGGGACCGGCGACCCCAGGGCGTTCGGAGAGGAGATGACGGGCGAGGCGGCCAGGCTGCCGATGGGCTGCGAGGCCGACATGGAGGCGATCCCTGTGCGGGCAGACCGGGGAGGGGGGCAGAGGGACCGCGTCAGCGGGCTGGTGGGGGGCCCGCAGGGGAAGGCCGCTCCTCCCCCGCCAGCCCTCCGCGGGGAAAGCCCCAGGTGGAGACGCGGCCCACCCAGCCCTCGCCCCGGGGGGAGCCCTACCTGCCAGCATGCTGGAGGAGCTGACGGGCGTGTTGGCCGACGAGAGCACGCTGGAGGAGCCCAGCCTGGCGGGGTCTTTCACTATCGGGTCTGCGGGGGGAGCGGGGGGACGTGACTCCAGGGCCCCACCTGCTGCAGAGGCACCCCCAGCAGAGGGCCACCAGGCGTCCCGCCCCAGTGCCCCACAGCGGCGAAAGCCCCGGGGCAGCGGGCAGCGCGAGCCCCTTCCCGGCCGAGAGACCCTGGCGCTGGCCGAGGCGAGGCGAGGCGGACCGGCGAGCGACAGCACCCCCCGGGCCTCAGGGGCTCACGCAGCCTCCCCTCCGTGGGGACAGCGCCAGGGAAGACCCGAGGGGGGCCGGCCCAGCTCGGACCCCGCAGGGGCCGGGGGCCGTCCGCCGGGCGACGTACAGAAGTACGGGTGCTCCATGGCCTCGCGGGCCGTGAGCCGCGTCTGGTGGTCGTAGCGCAGCAGCTTGTCCAGGAAGTCCAGGGCCTCGGTGCTCACCAGGTGCTGGTTCTCGCTGTGCACGAAGCGCTCCCACCGCTTGCGAGAGTGCCTGCCAGGCAGCGAGAGGCGAGGGAGGGAGGGAGGGCGAGGCGGGGCGTGGGGGGCTGCCCCGCCGAGCCCCTCCCGCCCCCAGGCCCAGGAGGTGAAGGCAGGAGAGGGCCCTGCGCCCCACCGCCCGGTGACCGCCCTCAGAGGGCCCGAGGGGGCTGCGCTCACCTGCCGAGGATGTCATTGAAGCGGGGGTCCAGCTCTATGTTGTACTTGTCAATGTAGTCATAGAGATCCTCAGTGCCCAGCACCTTTGCGATCCGCACCAGCTGAGCGCGACGGGGAGGGTGAGAGGGCGGGCGGGGGGGGGGCGGCGGAAGGCCAGGCCAGGGGGTGCAGCCCCGCTGAACTGCCGCCCCAGGAGGCCCCACCTGCCTGCCTTCACAGGTGGCCAGCAGAGCCCTCTGCCCCGGCAGCCGCAGCCCTCCACCCCGACACCTGCCCAGCGAGAGGGAAAGGCCCCAGCAGCGGGCGGGTTGCTCTGCGGAAGCCCCGCCACAGCAGCCCCCCCGGGGTACGGCCCCCCCGCTGTCCCCCGCCCGGGCCTTGCCTGTCCTGCAGGCGCCGGAGGCATGTGGCAAAAAGGCCAGATCCCGAACGCGGGTGGGGGCGGGCTGGAGCGGGGGGTGGGAGCCCTGCAAGCGGCCCCGGCCGAGCTCACCTGGTCGTAGTTGTCGTGGCCGTGGAAGAAGGGCTCCTTGCGGAAGATCATGCTGGCCAGCATGCAGCCGAGGCTCCACATGTCCAGGCTGTAGTCGTACATCTGGGCGGGGGCGGGGGCGGGGGCGGAGAGGGCCACGAGGCCTCAGCAGCGGCCGGGGGGCAGGAGGGCGGCAGCCCCCCACCCAGCGCCTGCCTCCAACAGCAGCAGAGCCGGTGCGGGGGCTCTCCGAACCGCTGCCTGCGGCTGTGGCACCTGTGCCCCCGCAAGCTCACACCCATCGCCCTCCCGGAGCACCAGGCCCTGGCCTCACGCCGCCCGCCCGCCTGCCGAGCCCGCGGCGGTCGCCCGGCCCGGCAGCAGGGGCCAGGGGGCGTCCGTGTGGCTGGCCCGCGCCCAGTCTCCGCCACCTCCAGGAGGTAGGGCCGGGGGCTGCAGAGCGAGGCGCCCGGGCCAGGGGGGTGCAGAGCTGGGCTTGCTGCCGCCCTCCCGGCACGGTCTGGCCTGGCCTGGCCTTCCGCACGGACCCCCAGGCTCTGCTGCTGCCCCACGGCGGTGCGCTGCCGCCGCCCTACCTGGTAGTCCACCAAGAGCTCCGGCCCCTTGAAGTAGCGCGAGGCGACGCGCACGTTGTACTCCTGCCCCGGGTGGTAGAACTCGGCCAAGCCCCAGTCGATCAGACGCAGCTGCAGCCGGGAGCGGAGGGGAGGGGAGGGGAGGGGAGGGGAGGCCGCCTGAGCGCCACAGCCTGCTCTCAGGCAGGACGCGGGAAGCGTGCCCCCCGCAGGGAGGCCTCGAGATCAGGCGGAGGCAGGGGCCAGAAGCCTGGAGCAGCGAGGAGCCCAAGGGGCAGGAAGGGCAGCCCAGGCCCGGCTATGCCGCGCTGCCTTGAGCGGCGTTTGCTGCCCTGGCCAGGCAGCCCCCCCCCCCCCCCGCCTCCCAGGGCGTTAAGATCAGCCTGAGGGCAGGGCCGTTGTTTCTGTACAGCACATTTGGGACCCTCGCAAACCAGCAAGTACATAAATAAAATCCATCGCAAGAGCCCAGCAAAGGATGCTGGCATGCTGCGGAGAGAAGCACCTCTTGCCCCAAACCCGGCCCGGCAGGGCAACAGAACCCCAACGGTTTAGCCCCCCGCCATCTGCTCCACTGCTCTCTCGCAGGACGGCACCTTTAAGCCCAGGCTTGGCTGCCGTGGGACGAAGGCCGCCCTCCACCTCTTCTAGCCAGCAGCACACCTGGGTGCTCCAGGCGCCCAATTCCATCTCCCGGAGGCCAGGGAGCCTGCAGTCACCTGAGCTCTCCTCTCGCCTGCCGTGCCCACAGGCGGCCTCAGACCCCCCCACCCCCCGGGCCACCCTGAGCACGGGCGAGCCAAGCGTCACTCCGGGGGGGCCTGGAGGTGCCACGGCTGCTCTGCGCAGGGCACGCCACTCCAGCGGCGCGGACCGTCAGCGGCCCTCACCCCCCCGACCGCCCCACCGCCAGGCGGGGAGACCCGAGTCTCTCTCCCCAGCCTGCCCAGGCACTCTGGCTTGCCCGGGGGGAGGGGGGGGCTGCACGCGGCCCACGGGGAGCCCTGCGCAAACACAGCCTCACCTTCCGGTGCTCGTGGTCTATCATGACGTTGTGTGGCTTGACGTCCCGATGCATGACCCCCATGCTGTGGCAGTAATCCAGCGCCTGCGGGGGCAGCGGGAGGCGGTCAGAGGGTGCCAGCCGCGCACCCGCTCCAGGCCCCCAGTGCCGGCAAGGGCCACGCCACGCCCTGGCATCTTTCGTGGGGCTCCGCAGCGCCGGGCTGCGTGTCTGACCGGTGCCGGGGCAGCGGAATGGGGCCGCCCAAGCTGGCGCTGTCTGGGCAAGCTGCCCCCCGGGCGGGACAGGCCGGAGGGGGGCAGAGGCGGGAGGGGCTCTCCCCGGGAGGAGGAGGACCCTGCCAGCCCCGGGTGCCCCTCGCTGGTCTGCCCCGGGGCCACCACCCGTCAGCTGGCCCTGTGGGGCTGCCCAATGCCGCTGGGCCAGGCCCGGACCCGCTCCCCACTCAAAGGCTCAAAGGTGGGAGGGGCGAGAAGGCCTCGCAGGCCACCGCAGAAGGGCCTCGTGAAGACGCAGACAGGCCCCGAGTCCACCCTCAGGGCAGCCCCTGGCAGCGAGCGGGCTCCTTGGCCAAAGCCCCACAAGCGCCGCGACGGCGCCCCCAGCAGCAGCAGCCCTCTGAGGCCCTGCAAGAGGGGGCTCTTCTCCGGCCGCGTCCCTTCACGGCTGGGTGCCGGGCCTCCGGAGTGCAAGCCAAGGCCCCTCCCTCCATGGAGGGGCAGGGCCTCATCTGGCTGCCCCCAAAGCCCGTGTGGGGCTGGACAGACACCCCCTGCTGGCTGCTCCCGAGGTGCGCACGTCCCGCAGGACACAGGTGAAGGAGGGCTGCGCAGCCAGAGGGGCCCGCTCTGCCCCCCACAGCCGCCCGAGAGGCAGCCACGGTGTGGGGCCGCCCATCGCTTCCTTCCCTCCCCCGGGCTCGGCCCCTTACCTTCAGGATTTCATACATGTAGAACCGGATGTCGAAGTCTGACAGCGTCTGATACAATTGCTGGGGGAAGAGAGAAGGTTGTGGAGGGCGGCTGGGGCCCCGCTCCGGGGCTCAGACCGCCCACTTTAACTGGCGCGGCTCACCCCCAGCACAGGGGCCCTTTCCTTCCCCAGCCAGGCAGCCTGGCCTGAGGCCACTCTGCTTCTCTGCTGTGACGGGAGAGGAAGAGGAGGGAAGCCGCTTGGGCCAAGAGCGGGACGCCAGTGGGCGCGGGGTGCCTGCTTGCGGGTTTCTTCGCCCAAACAGCAGAGCTGCCGGTGAGCCGCCGAAGCGTCACGTGCGAATGGCTCGCAGCACCCGGCACCTTTTCTTCTTGCTTAACTAAGGTGGTTTTATGTGGTTCGATATATGGAATGTTTACTGTTACGTCTCCCTTTTCATCTCGTTAATCTTATCTTATTTCAGTCTTTTGTTTGACACTGTCTTATAACTTATTGACCTGATTCCTATCGTTAGCTTTTATATTTTAATGCGAATTGCCAAATGCGACAATTACGACACGCACTGTTCTGTTGCCCAACGTGCCGAGAGCTGCCTGGAGAGCCCAGGGCGACCGGGGCGGCATGCAAGTCAAATAAATAAGTAAAAGACAAACAAATGTCAGCTGAAAGGAGGGGCAGAAAGCTGGCAGCCAGCAGCTCCCCCTCCCCAGTGCGCGTGCACGGATAGACGGGCTGTCGCTCGCTCGCTCGCTCGTGAGCTACTGCTGGACAGAGGACTCGCCCGGGGTGCTGGGAGAAGGGGTCGGCTGCTCCTGGCATCCCTCCCCCTGCCACCTGGGCCGAGCGGAGTGATGCTCCGGCCTTCTGCTTGTTCTCTGGCTTGGGAAGCTGCCCCGGAGGCTCCCGGCTGTGGGGCAGGGAGAGGCGCCTGGAACGCACGCAGCATCGGGCCGCCCTCACAGCCCCAGTCCCGAGACGGGGACCAGCCTTCCGGCCGCCCCGGAGCAGAGGGCCCCACACGCCCGGCCCCTCACCCTCGCTGCAGGGCCGGAAGGGAACCCGGAAGGAGCGCCGACGGTGGCACCCCCTTACCTTGAAATCGGTGTTGTTGACATGCTCGAAGACCAGGGCGGGGGTCCGGGACTGGAGGGCAGCGGGAGCCGCAGCACCATCGCCGCCACCGCACGCACGGGGCAGGAGAGAGGGCAAGAATCAGCAAGTAAGACAAGCCGCCTCCTCCAGGGCAAAGCTAGGAGGCGCGTGAGCGGCTGCTGTGGCCTCGCAAGCCGCGCTGCACTGACGGGGGCAGAAGACCTCGCTGTACTCTTCCCCGGCTGCCCCCGGACGGCCTATGGGGGGCTCCAGAGGGTGCTGGCTGGTCAGTGGGGGTTCCCGGGGGGACGCTGGGCCTCCGAGTTCACTCGCCCGCCAGCCACGAAGGGAAACGGCCCGTCCTGGCCACGAGAGCAACTCCCCGCATCCTCTTGGGTCAGCTGCCCCCGGGCTCTTTCTCCGGGACCTAGAGGCTGCGTCGCCACATCGCCGAAGGCAGGCAGCCCCTCTGCCCCGGAAGGTGCCCCCCTCCCCCGCTGCCAGGGCCAGGCCCTTGTGCCACAAGCTGCGAGCACCCCGAGAGCGCATGGCGCTCCTTACCACGGGGTCCTTGACTATATCCAGGAGGCTGATAATGTTGGGTCCACCGCGAAGGTTTTCCAGAATCTTGATCTCGCGCTTGATTTTCTTCTTTTTTACTGGCTGAGGAAAGGAGAGCATCGTATGGTCACAGGCGGCCTTTCTGACGAGACCCACCAGCTGGAACCTGCACTTCGCCCCCTCAGCACCCAGGTAGCTTGGGGGAAACGGGTGCCAGCAGGTCTCTGCTGAGGGGCCAGGCTGCTGCCTCGTCCAGGCAGGCCACGGGCCCCTAGACTGACCCCAGAGGCCACCCCGGGAAGCCTTGGCGGGAAGCCGCTCGCCTCCCACTAGAGCCCTGCTCCCAGGGCGTGCCCTGCCCTCCAGCGATCGTGCCTCGAGCCGTGCCTGCCTCCGGGCCTCATCCGTGAGGAGGCAAGACTGCTTCATGCAGCTCGGGGCTGCCCGGCTGGCCCCCCAAGACCACAAGGGTCGCCCCGAGGCAACCGGAGAGCAGCGCCAGGGGGCCCTCGCCAAGCCTCAGTGCCTTGCGGGGGCTTTCCCAATTTTAACGTCTCGAAAGCAAATCCCTGCCCTGGGAGTTGCTCAAAGAGGTTAGGCAAATGGGCTCCAATCACAGAAAAAGAAACCCCAAATAATGTGAAATGAGACATCGAATGCAGCAATTCATCTGCACAGCCCACCAGCTCCCCTTCAAGCTGCGGCCAAGTGAAGGGGGTCCACCTGCTGTCCCCAAGGAAGGGGAGAAGGGGCCACGTGGATGCCTCCAGGGGGGAAATCCCGGGGCCACGGAAACGGCCCCGTCTTCAGAGCACGTGAACTCGCCTGCAGACCTGCCAGATGCGAGTCCAGGGGCCCCGCTGCTGCCCCCATCGCGTCCTCACGGCCAAGTGACCCCGCGGAGCCCACCAGCGTGTTCCCTTCCGGGGCACGTGGTGCCAGAGCGAAGGCGCAACGTGTCGGTGGGCTGCACAGGCCGCCCCACACGCTCAAAGGCACTTCCAGCAGTATTGATGCGCAACCCACCTTTTTGTGCTAAATACACTCAAGGCAGCTTTCGGTAAGAAAGACACGGAAAGGTCAGCAAGTTGTACATGGGAACAAATGGGGAACAAATGGGGAGGGGTGGAGAGTTCACAGTGAACGCACGAGCGACCCCGTCGGCTTTCTCCCCCTTCTGAAGGTGGACAGCACGGCGCCTCTCCGGCACGACCACACCGCGTCTGGGTGCCGCAGCCCAAAGGCCCTCCCGTGGCCGTGGCAGTCTACCTCAGGGGCCCCAGGGCCGCTCCTGCCGGGCGAAAGGGGCGTCGCCACGAGCGAGCCAGCGTGCCGCACCCGACTCGGAGGCCCGGCTCGCGTCCCCGCTCCGGCACGAGGCTCGCTGGGCACCGGGGCCACTCAGACCCTGCCCGACCGCCCGACGAGGTCATGGCAGGACGAAGCGCGCGGGAAGAGGGGGCTCTGTGAGGCGCCCCGAGGCCCTTGCAGGACAGAGGTGGGGCAGGAAGAGAACAGGGAACCCAAACACGCAGGCGCACGCTCCCGTCGTGAGCCACACAGCGCCTCGCTGCCCGCTGGCGAGCTGGTGTGTCACCGCCAACCCTCCCTCTGCAAGGAGCCAGACGCGCCCCGACCCCCGACGGGAAGGCTGCACAGGGGTCTCGGGCGGCTCCACGAGGGCAAGGCCTTCTCCAGCACAGGCCACGCCGCAGGCCCCCACGGTGAGGCTGCGGCCAGGGCCCCCCGCGCACCCACGGGGCACCGGGGCGCACGGCACCGGCACGCGCAGGCGGCTTCCCCGCTCTAAGTGCTTGATCGCGGGCACCTTGTGCTGGGAGGCCGGTGACCAGGGTGGAGACTCGGGTGCTCCAAATGATGCTCACGTGCCGCGGGGAGTGGCCGGCGCATGGCAGATGTGGGCCCTCGGGGCCCGTCCAGCTGCAGGGGCATGCCCAGCGCTCGGGGGGGGGGAGGGAGCCTTTCGCTGCCCCCACGGCAGGACCGAAGACCCCGTGCTCCGGCTGCGCTCCACCCACACACCTGCAGCCACCGGCTCCCCTTTCGCGCAGGGACGGCCCACAGCAATGCACACGTCTGAACCAGAGGGTCACATCCTTCCTTACCTCTCCTCGCCCTAAGTGAGCATCATGCAGGAGCAAGAGTTACGCCGTGCGCGTCTGCTTCTCCTGTGGCTTGAGCGCGGCCAAGTCAGCCCCTTGGAAGAACAGGGTCGCGCTGTGCCCGGACCAACAGGCCACACGCAGCGACCAGCGCGGCCCTCCTTCGCGCACGGCAAGATCTTGCCGGAGGCTTTGCGTGAGGGGGCGCACTGTCACCCCAGCACGACATCTCAGCCCGCGTTTCGAGGACGGGGGCCGGACGGGGGCTGAGCCAGCGGGCAGGACGAGGCTGGAGGGGCTCGGGGGGAGGGGGGGGGCCCGTCGCCACGCTCACCTTGAGGATTTTCACCACGACTTTCTCGTTGTTGGTGATATTGATGGCTTCAAAGACCTCGCTGTACTTGCCACGGCCCAGTTTCCGCACCAGCTGGTAGTCATCCTGGTTGCTGTGGGAGAGAGGGAGGGAGAGGGAGAAGAGCTCAGCCCGTCCGAGGCTCCCTGCCCCGAGGGCCAGCCGCCCGAGCACGGCCCCCAGGAGCCCCACCAAGAATGAGCGGCCCTGGGCTCAGGGGGAGTCCATGCCTCCGGCAATCTGGATGACCCTTCCACAGATGGGGTGAGGATGCGGGTCAGATGGGGGCTGCGCTGGACAGGCGTATCCCTCACAGTGCTGGGGGCGAGATGAGTGAGGAGCCTGCGGGGCTCGCCCCAAAGACCTCCCTTCGGCAGCGCCGCCGATGCAAAGGCACGGAGTTAAGGAGCTGCCAGGACGGCTCCAAGCCCTGGCCACCGGCCTCCCAGCTCTCCCCTGTGGAATCAGACGGCCTCAGGCCTCCCTCGCCTGGTGCTCCGCCGTGGTCTCCAGACAGCCGGTGTGCACATCACACGGATTTTGGCTGCGCAGGCGGTACGGGGTTTGCCGCAGCAGCTTTCGATTCAAGAACAGCAAGAGAGAGAAGGGACTCAGAGAGAAACGCAGCCTCCCCAAAGGAGGTTTTGTGGGACAGAAGGCTCCGCAGCAACGCGCCCCACCACGGCTGAAGGCAGCCAACCTACCCCCATTCCACGACATGCGACTCATAGTCCCAGTATTCGCGGGGTCTCTGCGTGTTCACGTCTGCGTAGACCCTCGCTCGGCTTGGCACGGGGCCCGACATGCTGTCCCAATGTGACGGTCAGCACCTCGAATGCTCTATAAAAGACAGAGAAAGAGGCTGGCGCAAGAACGGGGCTTAACAGGCACACACAAGCGGGACAGTGGGGGGAGAGAGGAGACCCGCCTTGAACCCAGCCCCAAGAAGCTTGCCGCAAGCGGGTCGCTCATGCGCTCGGGCCGCAGGATCCCACCAGCAGGACCGAAAGGGGGATGCAGCCTGGAAAGCCAGGCCAGGCCAGGCCAGGGCCGCCCTGGCTTGGTGTGCCCCCGCTTGCCCTTTCGTCCAGCTCCCCGATCGACCACAGCTCAGCCAGGCAGCAAGCAAACAGGAGCCTCCAAAAGGAACCCTGGGGGCCCCGGGGCCAACACGTCCCAAGGCCCCGAGGAAAGCAAGCAAATGTCAATACCCATCCAGGAACGAGAGAGGGGCTGGACCCACCCCTCAAAGCCCTCTCACGCCCCCTTCCAGGAGCCTCTCTAGTATTTTTGCTACCGTCCCAGCCGCCCAAGCAGGGGGGGCGGGGGGGTGGGGACCTCTGAGTCCCCACGCACCAAGGCACTGGCGGACGAGATGCCCGCGATCCAGCCTGAAGCAGCCCTGCGCAGGGAAAGCGGGTTCCCAGTGGGAAGCCACGCACGCGTCGGGGCCCTGCTGCTAGCCGGCTTGCCCACTGCTTATTTCATTTAGTGAGTGCCCTGGTTTTGTGCCAAAATACAGCATCCAGGGCAGTTTACAAGACAAATTAAACCAAGCCGTTAAAACGCAATGAAAATATAATTACAGGAAGCGATGCCATTAACAAAAGCCCCCAACGCACCAAGCCCACGTGCAGGTCAACTGCCTTCTGAAACAAAGCAGCCTTCGCCTGCCCGCAGAAGGAATCGAAGAGCGAGCGGCGGATCCGCGGGAGGGACCTCTCGCCACCCGCAGAGGCCCGGCGTGAGCAGCTAAGCATTTCTCCGCTGAGACTCCGTGCACAACCACGGGCCAAATCCTCGCTGCCCAGGGACACGCATCGACACGCAACGCTTGCAAACAGATCTCATCTCAACGCGTGTGACCAAACGCCTGCGTTTCTGGGCATTTAAATGGCAGCCCCACCGGACACTGGCACCGTCCCGGAGCACCACCTCAGCACAGCGTTCGGCTTCAGGGCCCCGGGACTGTGGAGAGCACCCACAACCAGCTGCGCTGTGTCCAGGCGACGTGGAGAAGCACGACCAGCCGCTCGGCCAGGCCCCGGCATCGCCCTCCACTGCCAGCCACTGCCGAGGCACAGCGACGCAAGGCCCGGCCACTCGGCCCCAGGCCGCCACCGCTTCATGCCCGTCCGCCTTGTTCTGAGGATGCAGGAAGCCGAAGCCGGCAGTGCCGGGCCTGCAGACGCAGCACACGTAGGGCCTCAAGTCTCCGGAGAAGCTAAAGGGAATGGCCAGCCTCGGAAGGAAGGAGCAGCAGCTCCTCTCTCTCGGTCCCTGGGATTATGAAGCAGTGCCGGTCCATGCCCCCTCCCCTCCTGTCCGGCCATCTCCAGCAGAGAGATTCCGGGGACAGAAAAGGGCCTTTCTCGAGCCTTTCCACATGTTTATTAAGCGTGTGGAGCAAGAAATCATGCCTGCTCGTATTTGCAGCTGGAAGTTACGGGCTCGGCCTTTGCACCTGTCCATGCAGGACGCCTCCTTCGCAGGCGCTGTCCTGCCTCCAGGTGGAGGGTGGGGCGACTCGTGATCTGTTGCTACGTCCGTGCCGATCATGCTCCTACGAAACGGCCCTGGCTTCTCAACAGGCACAGGCCAGCAAAGGCATGAGCAGACCCAGGGCTGACGAAGGCCAAATGGAGCACCACTCAGACTGCTGCCACAGGCAGCCCCACACCTGGGCGCTCATCTCCTGTTGCTGCAGAAGCTGAATACATCCAGTACAGCAGAATCTCTGGAGCAGAATTCAGGATGCTGCAAATGTCAGCTTTCGTTTAAAAATAGTTTGCAGGCCTCGTTGTTGTGGGAAAAAGCACAACCACGTGTGTTCAAAATGCACCTCTTACAAGGCTAAGGAAAGGGGCAGTCTGGCCAAAGCTCTCAGTGACCGCCGTGAGAACAAACACTTCCACTCCCTGTCCTTTCTCCGCAGCCAGAAAGACTATGACAGAATATTCAGAGTCTGCATTCAGGCAAAACACAGGCAGGAGCAGGTATACAAATACCACGTCTGCATCCCCATAATGTGAATGATGCCTGAATCTGCTGGCTGCTTGGACTTCACAGGCACCGGCTTTCAACGCGTGAACTGAGTTCTGTGAGGACAAGAGGACTCTGGGGCAAGCCCTGCACCCGGCCCACGTAGCTCCAAACCAACCATACGCATCGCTTCTTGCTAGAACACTGAGCCACTGCTCCCACTGGAGACGCATGCATCTGTGCGCACACCCGACACCACTGCATTTCACCTGGCGGGTCGCGGCTGCCCCGGAGTGCGCGCACACCAAGCGGTGCGCAGTCACCGTGCCGGGTGACGTGTACACGGAGCCACACGGCCGGGACAGAGCGTGCGACACGCCTCTGCTGAATGAGCAGCCTGGGGGGCAGCTCGAAATGGAGCCAGACCAGGGGTCCATCCAGCGCAGCAGTGCCAACCCGGACTGGCAGCAGCAGCCCTCCAGGGGATCGTCCCGCTGCACCTGGGGAGGCAAGCAGCTGGCCCAGGGAGGCCTCTGGCACAGAGCTCCAGCCCGGCCCTCCGCATCCCACCTCGCACAGCAGCAGCCAGTCAGGCGCCCGGGAAAGTTCGGACGCGAGGCGGGCACGAGGGATTGCACGATCTGGGACGCAGGCATGGCCCCCGAGCTGAGCGGACACGGGCCGGGGGCTCGCACTGCACCCCTCCAAGGACAGGGCCACTGGCGGAGTCCACACGGCAGCACCCAAGATGACTACCTCGAGCCTTGGTCAGTCAGCAGCCCCAGAGCGACTGGGAGTCGTCCTGCGAGAGGCAGAGCGAGGCACGCGCAGCATTCCAGGTGGAGGGAGGCTGGGGTGGGGCACTGGCCAGGCAGTGCCCGGGGGGACGCACAGGTGCTCCCACGCCGTCAGCAGGAGCCCATCCAGCGCTCAGGGGGGCCTCCCAACCGCTTGCTCGGTGCTCGGTCACAGCATTGCCATGTCCCTGGAAGAAAAGCAAGTATTTCGGTCGCTCATCTTCACCTCCCCTTTCCTCAATGTTTATTTTCACATTTGTGCCCTGCATACTTCGCACTCAGCCTCCATAGCAGCTTGCACGCTAATGTAACAAGTAAGAACGAAAAGGTATATTAAAACAGTGCGAATAAAATATCAGCAGCTAATCTAGAACAAATCTTCCAGAAAATGCATTTCTTGTGTCGCTTCCTGAAACTACACTGGTTTCCCCAAGCTGTGGCAGGTCTGTGGTTTGTCAGGGAGACTCACAGCCACAGTGGAGTACATTTTGAGGATACCAGGCTGGGAAAAGCTGTAAAGAGACGTGTAAACGCGTGGCTTTTCCATGAAGTAAGAAGAGAAAGGATGGCTGCTTGAATCGGTAGCTTAACACCAATTGCTGAAAGCAGGCTTCAGGGCTTGCCTCTCCAAAGCAGCCCTCTGGTCCCCCAGCAGCCAGCCAGGCAGTGCAAGGAAGCCCCGAGACAAGGACTGGGAGGCGTTCTGTTGTGGATGCTGGACCCTCCCCAAACCCCTCTGCAGGCTGGGCCAACAGGAGACCCACCGGGCCGGACGGAAGCAAGGCCAGTCCTGTCCAGCACTGCGTTCACCCAGAGCCAGGGACATCCACACGGAGGGCACGAGGGTGGCGGCCCACGCGTGCCCTCCCGCAGCTCACGCGCACAGGCACAGTCCCCCCGCAGCCGGACGTGGCGTTCGGCCATCGGGACCAGCAGCCATCGACGCGCCTCCCTCCTGGAATCTGTTGAATCCGCTTTAACAGCCACCCAGCTGCTAAAACTGGTAGCCACTATTTCGTGCAGAAATTAATTCGACTGCTTAATTATATGCCATGAGTAATTATGAGGGGAAAAAAAGCACTGCCAGGTTTAAAGTCAAGTAATCAAACCGCACTTAGAAAATGGCAGCTTCTGCTAAGCAACACCAACCAGGCACGCGGGAGCCAGGCAGCCACCGGGCGCTGGGCGAGCACCGGCCGGGGTCTGGGGAAACCCCGACGACCGACTGCGGGGCCTGGATCCTGGCCTGCCGCGGGAAGCACTTCTCCACTGCGGAGCAAGAGCACCTTCGCAGAACCCCTCATTCATTATTTTCTTTATTATACGGCTCTCCCACCTCTCCTCCCTGGGGGTTTTCCAGGCAGCTACATCCTGTTCCCCAGATGGTGTCTCCTCCTCCACACACCTGCAGGGCTGCCTTGTGTGACTACAGATGTGTCCTGGGCCAATTTGCAAAAGGCCATACTTGCAACTCACTAATTATACTTCGGCCACCTCATGAGAAGGAAGGACTCCCTGGAGAAGAGCCTGGTGCTGGGAATGATGGATGGCAAAAGGAGAAGGGGCGGCAGAGGATGAGGCGGCTGGATGGGGCCACTGGGGCGGCGGGTGTGGGCTTGGGTGGACTCCGGGGGATGGTGGAGGACGGGAAGGGCTGGAGGAGTGCTGTTCATGATGGGTCGGGCACAACTTCACGACTAACAACAACCACCACCAATTATATTTGAATGGCCCAGAAATACTAAAGAGGCTCTCATGCTTTAAAATACACCAGTGGGTGTATCCTGAAAAAGAGTGGGTGGACCACCATGCCAAGGGTCATGCCAATTTATTTTTCTTCCAAAGCGCATCACCTCTGGGGGACCTCTAATGGCCCACAGAAGAGCTCCCTGTATGCACCATTTTACACACGAATGTAAGAAAAGCCCTGGAGGATCAAGGCAGTGAATCTAGCCTGGCATTCTGTGCACAGTGCAAACCAGCTGCCCACAGGATCCCTCCAGCAGGACGGGTGCAAGACTTCCTCCCGCCCAGCTCCTCAGCAGCCGGGGTGTGCAGGCAGGCCGCCTCTGGGCAAGGAGGCAGACCGGAGGCAGCGACGCTAGAAGCCGCTGGCACCTCCTGCCTCATGTATCTGTCCAATCCCCTTTTAAGCCCACCCAAATTGGTGGCCATCACCACTTCGTATGGCAGCAAATTCCGCAGTTTAACTACACGTGGTGTGAAGAAGGCCTTCCTTTTGCCTGACTTGAATCTCCCACAAGGCAGCTTTACGGGATGCCCCTGCGTTCGAGTGCCATGGGAGAGGGAGAAAACTCTCCTGATTTTCTCCACACCTGGCAGTGTTTTAAACACCTCTGTCCTGCTGCCTGCACCTTGCCTTTCCTCTGAGCAGAACGGTCCCAGCTGCCATAGCCACTCCCCGCAGAGGAGCTGCTCGTCCCCGCTGCTCCTTCTCCCTGCCCTCCTTTTGCTCTTCCCAGTTCAATAACACCCTTACTCAGGTGAGGCAACCAGAACGGGATGCAATTATTCCAAGTGCAGTCACACTGAAGAGCTCTGTAAGGGGAGCAAGATTTTCGCGGTTCTACCTTCTGTTCCATTATGCCTATTGCGGAGCTCGCTTTCACCGCAGCAGCTACACACTCTGACAGCCTGAAAGGCTAACACAAACCACATTTTTGCTTCGGATCCCAGGGATTTGTTTTTAAATGTGTCAGTCTATAATCGTGTGTTGCGATCTTTACAGTCACTAGCTTTGACTGGCCTGTATCCTGATTTTATTCTGCTTTAAGGTTTTAATAATTTCATGCAACTTCGGCTTATTTTTGGCTTTTAATTCCTATAAACCGTCTAGAGCACTTTGGCTCCAGAGCGGAGGGGAAATAAAATTCCCTGTAGCCACAGCCCTGACAGGGTCGGCTTGCCCTCGTTCCCACGCACAGTCAGAATGGAAGACTGTGCCAAGGGCAAGGACAAGCCAGCCACCACCCCAGTGCCCTCCACGCATTCTGGGCTACAACTCTCGGCACTGCTGACCACCGCCCGTGCCGGCTGGGACCGACGGGAGACGAAGCCCAAACCATCCTTGGAAGCGGCTCTCCGCTGGCAGACTCCAAGTCTCTGCTACCGGTAGGTGAGGCAGAATGCGGCTTGGGAGGCAGCAGTTTCACCTGTTCCGGTGAATCCCGCAGAGGAGGAGCTCAGGTGACACGGTGGGTGCAACACCTCAGCACCTGGTCTTGAGAGGGCAAAAATGTTACTCTAGAACGCAAGAGCCACCTCTCCACGAATGGAACAGTCGAAGAACAACAACCACCAAAACAGCGACAAGCTGGCCAGCACATCTGGCCAGAGGCCTGCGCCTGCTGCAGGAGCCTCTCCAGGGGCCTGCGTGCCCCCCCATTCCGGCAGCCCAACCAGGATGCGGCTCAGGTTCCCCACTGGCCGCCTAAGGAGCTGCCGGCCCGGGTGGGAGACTAGCGGCCACAAGGGCCGCGTCCAGGCGGATTCCCCGGGCCCGGAGCCCCCAACGGCCGACCCGAAGGGCGGAGGCCCCTAAGGGCCACCCTGCGCCTCAGTCCGCGGGGCTGGATCCCGCTGCAGGAGGAGAACTGGGGCCTCCGACGCTGCCAATGCCCTCCGCGCAGGCACATGGGTGCG